TTTTTTTGTGTAGTCCAAATTTAGATTCTAAATTTAAAAGTCAAATAAGTAATTATTTATAACTTACAGGTCAATATTAAATTGGATGTAAATGACATAGTCAATTATTTATAGTTTAATAAATTACTCAACTACTTAAATTTTTTGATTTGGATTGTTTATACAAAAATAAATTAATTTTAATAAATGAAACCACTTAAGGTTTATAATTGTACTTATTATCAAATCAATTTTTAAATATAAGATAAAATTTTACCAAAATAATTATTTTATTAAATCACATTGTAGTCAAATCAAATTTATGAATACACATTTTAAAATGACACTTATTTTGAAATGAATATAATGTAATTTATTATCAACTACATGCACTGTACGGGTTGTGTAATAATTTTAAATCAACATGTTTTATATAATGTTGCACAATTTTATACGAGGAACAAGAATAAGTAAAATTGTTATTTTTTTATATCAAGGAATAAATATATGTACAAAAATCAAATTTAATGATTAGTTTATGGCTAGCGCCAATAGACTCAGGTTTAACGTTTCGACAAAAAAGTGGCGCTAATGAAAATAAGTGGAAAATAGATGATTCAACTCTATTATTTTTTAGGGTTCAATGGACAAACTCTATAGACTATGAAAATTAATTATTTAATATCTCTATCCCGAGCATTGCACGGGCTACACACTAGTAAGAGTTTATTTGCTGCTGAATGACACATAAATTACAGCTTCAGCGCCTGCAACTTGAGGTCAAACAGATCACCCAGTATAAAATGAAAGATATCCTTATGCATCCGTAACACAAAATAAATTAAATAAATAAATAAATGAAATAAAATAAAGGGAAGAAAAAAAAGAAACAAACTCAATTGTTTAAAGTCAGTAACAGTTTGTATGCTATACATAACCATGTCCCTGTGAGCCACAACAAGCTATGAAGCATTCCCCACAAGATATTCTCGGCTTCATTTGAGAAACATTTGTTTTAATCTGGACCAAACTATTGTACACGAAACAATACTCTGTACAAATATAAATGCCAACAAGAAACGAACCACATACTCAACACACACATCCAAGCACCAAATTTTATGGCAAGTATACATATAATTTTCACGAGAAAACGACTTAAAGGGAAAAAGGAAAGAAAAGAAATAAGTTCCCACAACACCAGACACGATTTTTTTACGAAAACGACTTCTTAGACATCGCATGTGACTTCTTTCTGCTGAGGAACATCAATATTTTGGGGAACAAAGATCTCTTCTTTTTCTTCGCCACTCTAACTTCTGGGGATGTATCAGTTTCCGTGTAATAGCTCGTGTACGATCTCGGACTCAACACGGGCAAAGCAGATGAGTTGGGAGTGCTGGCGGAATTCTTGGATTCAGATTTCTCTTCGAAACTCATTTTCGGAGATTTATTCAAACTTCCAGCGTGCCCCCCAGCCCCAGCCGCCTTCCTCCATTTCCTAAGCTCCTGCTCGACCCCGAGTTTTCCTTCCTTGGCCCTCTCCTCCTTCTCCAACGCCCTTTCAAGGATAGCTTGCCTCTCGGCCTTCTCCTGCTCGGCCTCCTCCAGCTTTCTCAGGCTCTTCACCTCTAACTCTTTTGCCACCTCAATCTGAGACAGTGCAGCCGCCACTCGCGCGTTCGCCTGCTCCTCAGCCTCATGGGCCCGCTTGCTGAGCTCATAGTATTCCTCCAGTGATAGTGCCACTCCACCAACTGCCTCATCCGACTCGCTCTCAAGCAAAGCGCTTATGGCTGCCTCCGCCAGTTTCTCCGAGGCCCGAGCCGCCTCGATCTCTTTCCGGGCCGCCCGCAGTCGGCTCTCGACAGTGGCAGCCCCAGCCCGAACCCCTTCAGCGTCCTCCCGAGCCTTTCTGAGCTCCTCCCGAGCACTCTCCACGACTGTTTTCGCCCCGTCAGCCTCCAGGGCCGCCTCCTGAAGCTTCTTGGGGAGCTCCATCATCTTCTCTCTCTCTTCCTTCTCTCTCCTCCGCAAGATTGATATTTCCGTTTCTGTCCTCCGCAGCTCGGAGTCGAGGGACAAGACGGCGATCTCCGCCATACCCTCCCGCTGCCGTATGGCGGCCAGCTCGGTTTTCTCCCGCTCGAGCTCGGACTTCAACGAGCTCGCGGCCACCCTCAGGATGCTGACCTCGTTTTTCGCCTTTTCCATATCTAGCTTCACCTCTTCGAGCTCCTTCTTGGCCTCAGAGAGGGCGGACTCGACGTTCATCCGGTCTGTGGTGTCCGGTTTTGCCTGTTCGAGTTTGGACTCCATGTAGACTGCCAGCTCATCCTTGAGGTTCTGAAGCAGGACAGAGGCCTTGTCGAGTTTCGACTTGAGATCAAGGGAGGCCGAGATTTTCCTCTTCATCTGCTCGAGCTCGTCCTCCGTGTTCTTCAGCTCCTTCTCCAAAGTGAGTATGTCTTGCTCCTTGGCCATGACGGCCCCAATCCGGTGCTCCTCGGCCTCTAAGTGGGCCGCATGCGCAGATTCCAACGAGTCTTTCGCGGTTATGAGCTGGATTGTTAGGTCCTCGACCGATCTTTCGATTTCTTTCGACCAGGCAACGGCTTCCTCGGCTTTCTTCACAGACAGGTCCTTTTCGATCAGGACAAGGGAGTAGTCTCTCTTCAGCTGCTCCAGCTCGTTTTTTATGGATTTGAGCTCGGAAAGGGCAGTTGCATGGCGGGCTCGGGCGACCTCGAGCTGGGCCCGCGTGGCAAAGCTGGCCTCGTCAGCAATGCCTTGCTCAATCTCCTCAAGTCGTAGCTTCGCTAGCTCCGAGTCTTGCTGAGCTTGCTGCTCTTCGGTCTGGGCCCGCTCAAGGTTGAGTTTCAGTTCTTCTATGAGCCGTTTTGTGGTGTCGAGTTCCTTTAGGACCTGGAGCTTGGCCTCTTCGGCCACTTCCGATTGTTTCTTGTATAAAGGGATTTCTTCTTGTGCCCTTTCAAGCTCTTGTTCAATGATTTGTCTTCTCTGCATGGTGCGGTGCAGTTGAAAGGAATTTTGGTGAGAAGAGTTATTGAAAATGTGTCATGGTCTAAAATAACATAAGATCAAGATCTATTCTTTGTCAAACAAATTTGAACCTAGCATCTATGGGAAAGAGGCAATGATGAGTGAAATTTATGATTTGTACTAAACTGTTTCATAAGCCTCAGTCATACAAGGAAATGTGAGCACGTGTTTAAGAAATTTCAGACAATGTGATCTATGGTAGTAGAAGTTGGATGCATTAAAATTTAGATAGAAGAGAATTCCCATGGTAAAGTTGTAACTTGAAAGTGCTTTTACTTCTTTGTAAAGCGTCATTTCCCTGCTTTCATATCTCAGTTTACAAGGAACCATGAGAAATATGGCATTTTAATCACAAAAAATGTCTTCTTTTCTTTTTCTGCCAGATTTTGACCCTAAGTGCTTCCAATCATTTCCACAGTATCAACTTTCTTTAACCAATCTCATGTTTCACAAAGGTTAAAAAACATCTGTCAACAAATAGTACGACAATCAACAGATACTTTACCTCAACAGTTTGTACACGGTGGGCTTTCCAGTCGACAATGCCTCCAAACTTGGAAACAGCAGCCTTGACAGACTCAAAAGGTGCTGTTGTGTCAATTTGACCTCTGTTTAATGTGACATTACTCGACATTTTAGCTTGCACAGTGGAATTTTGATGCTTCTTGGAACTTGTAACAACTTGGGATGAATCCGAGGGCAAATGATCATCCTCGGGTGTTGGTCTTGCAATTATTTTCACTTCACTCGACTCCAATGCTGTCATGTCATTGTTAGTATAATTTTCTTGAGTTCCTGTTGGCTCTTTATTTTCTTCTGAGACAGTGACCGGAACTTTGGATGGGGCTATTTCGGGAATGTCTGTTTTCCCATTGGCATCTAAGGCTGTCAAATGAGTACTGTTCGACTGATCCATCTCTGGATCAGATAATACTGATGTAGGAAGCGATTGCTGAGGAGAATTTTCTTCAGACCTTGTATCATCCCCCATTACTCTTCAAATTGAAACGAATCTGTCCAGTTCCTGAAATTTTATCCCCCAAAAATAAAGAAAATGTTGGTGAAAAACACAACCAAGCCTATAAAATTTATTTCAACACATCAAGCTATCACATTAATTTCATCAAATAAAATTTACTTGAACAATCAACCCCAAATGTACACAGAAAATTGGATCTCTGTGGTTCTCAAGTTTGATATATTCTGATTGAAGGAAATACTGGTGACTATAAGGACTGGTGCGTACAATTTCATTAATTCAACTAAACAACATTACTCTTTTTATGAGATTCACATAAAAAAATAAAAAATAAAAAATCATATTATGACATATTGATTGCAGAGTTTGGAAATCATCCAGTAACTATGAATGTAACATGGTATTTTAATTATTTAAATATAATACTTATCACAGAAGGGATTTATATCATAAGAAGAATTATGGGTAACAATCACAAGTCATATAGCAAAAACAGCAGGGCCTTTCAGCTAAAGATAATGCCTTATCAAGACGACTTCTCTTAGAGGAAAGCTTGTTTCTAAAATGGAAGAAATCCTTTTTTACATCTTAAAAACACGAAAACATGTTCTAATCATCCAAAAAAGTTTAATGAGTAAGGGCTTCCATTCTAGTTTTCAAAATGCAGGGAGGCAGAATCATGCCAACAGAAATTTAGATGCACTCAATTTTGTGGTGTTATAAGTAATAATAAACCATTTAAATGGTAAAATTTTTCATTATGTTGAAGCAAATTCAAGCAAATAAGGTATGCCAACATTATTTAATATCGAAAGATTTAGTAAAGCCAGAAAGATCATAGAACTAAATTCCCTCAAGTCAACAATAAACACATTGAACGGCTATACTCCAGATCATAAACATGTTATCTAAAATCAAAATAGTAAATGGCACGAGGAAATCAGCTTGTCTGTTCATCTCAATTCTCAGCCCTACAACTTGTGTCTCTACCACAGTTACACGATTACACCAATATTCAGATTTCTCAAAATTATCACAATCTTATTCCTCTACTCATGCAGAAGTTTCAGAAACCTACAATAATTATACATAAACTTTAAATCCATTAAATGAAGGCCATCTATAAAGAATCTAACACAAACGTAACCAAACGCATCAAAGCAGATAAAAGTATATCTGATCTAACCAAATATATAGTAATCTGATCTTCCAGCAATCCAAACCCATAATTATAACTTCCGAAATTCATAAACTAAATCACTAACAAGCAGGCTATGATAACGAGAAGAGAGAAGCATACCAAGAATCACCAAAACCACAAGAGACAAAAGTCAAATGACCAAGCTGCGAATGACTTTCCCAAATCACCCGAAAAAACAGAAAATTATACACCTTTCTCGCTTCTTAATATTCTCAATCCCACCAAAAGTCTGTACGCCTAAAAATAGAAAATCGAAATTATCAAGAAAAGAATGGGGTTTTATTCCTATACGGTGTGTTGACGTGTATGGAGCTTACTTCGATTAGGTCAGAGACGACGTCGACGGAGATCCATTTACTGTCTGTGATGGACAAACTTCCTTGGAAACTGAATTAAAATATGTCGTTTATTATTTCTTTTAGATTTTTCATGTAAGAAAATCCCAACTTTTTGTGGTCTACATTATTGCATGAGGGAAGCAAGAAAAGTCTCGACTCTTGAGTCTTGAGTAATCAACTACTGTTAACAACTTAAACATTATTATGGGACTTTTCTAATTTTTTATTCTTTTTTTAATGTAATAATAATGATTGTAAAAGATAAAGTCGCCGACCATTCAAGTCAGGGAGCTTTTGCCTTTTCTGCTTTGTTAAAGTTTTACATGTTTCAAATGATATTTTGAGACATCTATATATAAAATTGCTAGTTAATTATTCAATCAAATCTCATAAATAAAATCTAATAAATTTTACCTAAAACTTTTATAATATAATAACTGATACAATCTATAATTATTATTATTATTATCATTATTATTATTATTATTATTATTATTATTATTATTACATTAATCCACCTATTCCATTAATAATAAAATATTTCCTTGGACTTTTTTTACGTTAATTAAGACAAAAACGTTACATTTTATATTAGTTGAGTAAGAATTATGTTTTATATTGTATCACATAATTGTTATTATTAAAACTAATAATTATATTTTACACTAAATAATATATAAAAGCTAAATAAATATAAAAAATTATACTATAAAAACTTTTTTAAAATTATTTATTCTAAAATTAATATTATATTTTTTATCTGATTAAGCGATTATTTTTTAATAAATTAATTTGTTTTAATGTCATAGTAAAACTCCTTAAAATCGCATAAGCAATTGTTATAATAAATTTAATATTTTTGAGCTAATTAATTGATCTTGATCCATCAAAATTACAAAAATTACATTATTTATTATATATTACAATCAACATAGTGATTCATATGCAACTAAATCGTTAATACTATTTATTTTAATCACTGATTGAATTTAAAAACATTATACATTTATTTAACTTATAATTTTAATATTATATGTACATAAATAAAACTCATAATGCTTTATGTTTAAGGTATAATAGCATTATATAACTTATAATTTTAAAATTATATGCATGCAAATAACTAATAAAATTTTATTTACATCTGTGCAAATGCGCAGGATCGAGTACTAATATGTATAAACTAGAAGAATCCAATTAATACTATTTTAAAATTTTCCCACTCTTTTTAATTTAAGTACAATTATATTTTGAATTAGCTAAATGTAATAGCATTTTTTAAGGATTTTAATATATAGTAATTACTACTAATTTAATTATAAATTTTGGAAGTTGGACAATTACAAAAAATATCTATAGCAGAACTTTTTCTTTAAGATATTTATGTTAGAATTAATATTATGTGTTTACTTTTATCTCATTTTTTTTTATCTCATTAAGTAATTTTATTTAAATAACTAATTGGTTCTAGTCAAAATCCCTTAAATGCACGTAAACAATTGTTATGACAATAGTATTAATATTTTTTATTTAATTAATTAATCACCAGACATGAAATTTATAAAATATAGATTATATTAAAAATTTTGTTCATATTATAAAAACAGGAAAGATAAAGAACTCAATATAGAAACCGGATATAAATTATACTAAATATTTTCTTCTTTCTTTTGAATGTACATCCTTTCACTTCATTTGGAGTGCCTTTTATAGGCAAATTCTACAGACACTATGCATACAAATTATTCATATCCCATACCCCTTACTTTTCACATATGATAGACTCATTATTTATGAATAGTGGTACATTCCACTTTCATAACACTCTCTCTTTGAATTACCACTATTAAATGTGCGTTTATATTGCCTCGTTAAAAACCTTATCCGGAAAAACCCTGTGGAAAAAAAAAACCGAGAGGAAAAAAGAGTACAGCCGCACATGCTCTCCCTCGAGTTATCATCTGTGCAAATCTCAAGATGTCTCATTCTAATGTTATGGATGTGCTTTCGGAATGTTGTAGTTGGGAGCACCTTTGTAAAATAAATCTACTGCACTATCACTTGATCGAATATATTGAATCTTGATCTGTTTGTTCCTTTCAAACTCTTGAGTGTATGAGAAGAACTTTGGTGGGATATGTTTGTCACTCTTAATGTATCATTCTTTGGTTTGAGCGACACATGCTGCATTGTCTTCAAATATCACCGTCGGATCTTTATTATTCGATAATCCACTGGCTTGTTGAATGTGTTGAGTCCTTCTGAGCCAGATGCTTTCCCTAGTTGCTTCATTAAGTGCAATGATTTCAGCATGGGTTGAAGATGTAGCAACTAGAGTTTGTTTTTGAGAACGCCAAGAAAATACATTTCCACCATTTGTGATAAATATACTGCATCTGCAAAACCAATCTTTTTCATGTTTTTTATCATTTGAGTAAAATAATCCCAGATCGGTTGTTCCTTGGAGATAACAGAATATTTGCTTGATTCCATTCCAGTGTCTCCTCGTAGGTGATGAGTTATATCTTGCTAATAAGTTGGTAGCAAAAGATATATCTTGTCTGGTGCAATTAGCAAGATACACAATGTTAGGTTCTATTACGAACGTCGGCTATGTGCACATTCAAATCTATTGAATAATAAATTATAACGCAGCGAAATCTATAGTTAGGATTAGGACTTACGGTTTAAATTTTTTGCCGACTCTGAGACGTTTCTGATTTCCTCTGTAGGAGATCGTCTGAACTGCAGAGTCTGTTGGGCAGTCGGACTTAGCCTCATTAATGCGTCTCCGGTTGCTCTTCGGGCTCTTCGGGTTGGCTCGGACCTTCGGTAGGTTAGTGGGACTGCTCGGGAATCATCACGAACACGAGGCGAGGCTTCTGGACTGAGTTGAACTGGTCTGTGCCGGTCTGGATCGAGTTTAGTCGGGTCTAGGTCGAACTGGGCTGGTTTGGGCCGGGACTGGTTGCTGGGGCCGAGGACTGGCGCGCAGGGTCGAGTCTGGCGTGGACGCGAGCTACTGGGGCTGGCTTGCACGCGTGAAAGCGCGCAGGGGGCTATCGCGCGCGGGGCAGGTTTGAAGTCGTCGGGAGCGTGGGTTGCGTCTTTCCTTCGCCAAGGAGGACTAGGCGCGCGAGGTCTTCGGCGTGTAGGGCACGTTATCTACTCCCGCAAGGACTAGGCATGCGCGAACTTCAGACGACGAGCGCGTACAGCATGCGGGTGCGAGGAACACGAACAGCAGCGTGCGGCGTGCAGGCAAGCGTCGCTGGTCGCTGTCTACGTGCGGTGGCGCGCTAGGACGCATGTGCGCATGGCTGGGCGAGGTCCGCCGGGAACCTGGGGCTGCGGCGCGGCTTTGCACGAGTTGTGCGGTCTGGGACACGGCTGGTCGCGGTCAGTGCGCGGCTGGCCACGGCCAGGGGTACAGCTGCGGACAAACTCCGACGGTGGCTTGCTGCGGCTGTGGACGGCTGCTGGGAACGGTGGCTAGTTGCCGGAAAATATATATACATAAAACAGCTCGATAATATTGTACCTTAAAGCCTTCTAATGTATGACCTTTACACCTACTTCGAATCTTGGTGGGTGATTAATAAAAATTCCCGAACTCTCAAATATATGAAGAACACGATTTTCCTCTTCCTAATAGGAACCTTAAAATCGAGTATCACACACGTAAGGGGAGATGTTGGGACATGGTGTATTTATAGGCTACATTAGGGACCTTAAGGAGGTGCTAAATATGGACTCATCCCATTAGGCTTAGGAATCCTAATCATGTTCCATATCCTTTCCCATCTAGGATAATATTCCTCCTAAACCCTAATTACCTTCTAGAAGACTTCATAGTCTCCTAACCCTAGGTAATATTCTAAAAGTAATATTCATATCCATAGGGAATCTAAATTATGGAATATAATTAATTTTGAATTCTTAAATAAAATTAAATAATAAAACATTATACTAGAGTAATATTATTTCTATCCCCATTCCGCTCTAATTTATTCAATAAATTTGAACCTCCACTTGATTAATAAATATTAATCTAATTGATCGATTTACCTCCCCATGTTTAAGATATAACGTCTGTTGATTAATTAAATTACTGACAAAATAATTAATCAACTTCTTCTTCATTTCCGAAATTAGTACCACTCAGATCCTTAATCATTATGTCGGATACACATCCGCCTGCAGGGCTTGACATAATATTCCTTCCTGAGCTCATTTCGGGGACGTCATCAACCCAGCACACTGGGACATAGTGACCGTAAATAATTTATAACATCACATCATATAAACACTATCATTTACCAAAATACCGAGTATGTCATCCTAGCAAAATAGGAACCACCCATGGTAAATCAAATAAATAAGTGATGAATATATATGCCCATTTATATTATCTTACAGCTTAAGAGTACGCATCAATTACTGAAGGTCTAGATTATAACTGCGATCAATAAATCTTATAATCTTAACCTTCCGCGGTCCTGTTCAATACGTATCATAAGTACTAGTGTAAACCATTAGTCAAAGATCAACCGAATCAAGACTTACACTACAGTCTTTTCCAACAGGGGTCTCACTGTCTGTCTAAAATGTGAACTATTAGTTTATATTTTACAAAGAACCTTAGTATGATCTTTCTGTTTGACACGGCGAACCATACTATCTACAATGTAAAATAAAGGAGTTATGATTGCATAAATAAATAAACTGCAAACATAAATACTTTGACTAAAACATGATTGTCAGATCAAAATGGAATTGTCAATATTTGAAAGCCAAGCTTTTACAGCATATCCTAATAATCTCCCACTTATGCTTAATAAGCTCATGGATATCACTAACCTCGATATTTGTTGTCCCTTCTGCCATACATCCGACTCCCAATCCTTTAACATGGCCATTACCGCTTTCGCTGGAAAGCCAATTCTAAAAGAATTTACTTGGTTGTCTACTGACATAACTAGGCGACAAACATCCACCCTGTCGCAGTCTTTTGCAACGGGCCTTACTTACTCTATGTGCTCCTTATTGAACTCGTGATCACTTTCTAATTGTAACTGCACCAACTGTCATCACATTTAAATTTTGATCTGACTTGGTCAGACGAGGATTTCACATTTTGAGTCCAATTGGCGAGT